TCTAGTAAGATAACTATTCTCAACGCTCTGGTCTTCTGAGAAAAACTCCTCAGACACAATGCAGAAAATATCTCAAAGAAAAATACCTTATCTTTGAGAATCGCACCATTTTTCTCAGAACACGAGGGGCATAATTATCCTATCAGAGCTGAGTTTCGACAAGTTCTCCAACCTGTTGTTGCTTGTTCAGATGGACAAATTGTCTCTGACGTCTGTAAGAGGGGTCAACATAGGTCAACATAATTTATCAGTTCACACACACACACACGCACTCACATACGTACATCTGCAGAAATTTGCAGAAACAAAAAGTGTTAAACGTGCACTGACAGGCTTGGATTTACGGTATGGAGGTAATAGCATGGCCTTTAGGGAAAATGGGGAAATATGTACGTTTAAAATAGACTGACTAATCTGACATTTATCAATAGATTGTTTTGTTTTTCTTCAACATGAAAATGTTTTCTTCCAGAATGGATTGATGGCAGCAGAAGTCTGCAAGTTAGATATGAACAGCAACAAAGCAAGAAGCGGAAGAAAAACTGGAAGTGAGCTTTGTCGCAGATCTTTACATGTATTCAGACAATAAATGCAGCATGTTCTAGAAATGTCTGATATGTTTTTCGTCCAAAGGCATGACGATATTAAATCAAAACCATTTTTGCCAAAGGGAGGAAAAGCAGGGAACAATTTTGAAAGTACAATTTTGGATTCCTGGTATTTTCTTTATTATGTTAAAACATGAGCAAGTGTGCCATTTTAAGGGGAAGGATTTTATTAGGTTGTTGAAGACAGATTGATCAAATAAGCGGATGATGTAAACGTTACTGCCAGAGATGGGCTGGAATTCATGATGGCGTGACATCATTTGTCTGACTTCTGGCAGTAAAAATGTCAACATAAGTCTTAGAAATAATTCAATCCATTATAGATTTCTGTGGGAGATTAAAAAAAGGGAAGGTGGACCAAGATAACCTGATGGAAGCTTAGATTAGAGGATTTAACGGCTTTAAAAACATTAAGATATAAGAAATTACATTGGCAACCACTTTATCTGCTATGGTTGTATCCCTGGAGTGAGCTTGAGTTTCTTGCTAATTGCTCATGAACAGAAGAAGCGAAGATTTCTCATATCTGAGTCAGCTGAGCATTTTTACCAGCAAAGAGTGGCTCTCGCTTTCATGTTCTTCTGTTTATATATAATAAAGGAAAAGTTTGACATTTTTGAAAAATAGACGTCTCTGCTTTCTCACTGAGGGTTAGGTGAGGGGACCATTCTAAAGTATAAGGCTACAGCCATAAGCCGCTTAGCTTAACTCAAATATTTATTCATTTTGGTTTAAACAATCACATTTAACAAAAAAAAAAGCAGAAGTATACTTATGTTACTTTTTGACGAAGGGTAGCTAGGCTAGTTCCCCCTAGTTGTATTTGTGCTAAGCTAGGCTAACTGGTATACTCTCTTGTGCGTTATATTGACAAACCAGGTAAGACTTTGTCATCAATCTTAGCATATACTTTTAATGGAAAAATGAAACAAGCCCAAAATTCCCCGAAGCACAGATTATTCCTTTAATAATCTGTTGGGGGAGTGAGCTTCGCTGTCTCCTACACATGGATAAGAAAAAATGTCTATTTTTCATTTTTCACGGTACACTTCAGGTCATCCTCATCATGCTTCTCTGACAGAAGTCGCTCGAGGGTTTTGTGTGTCAGTATGACTGAGTTGTTCTTGCATGCAGTGCTACACCTCCTGCCTACAGGTGAACCATCCACCAACAGGTCAGAACAGAGAGAGAGAGAGAGAGAGAGAGAGAGAGAGAGAGAAAGTGAACACATACATGAATCAGCATGATAAAAAACTAAATCATGACAGAACCATGTTGGAGAAAAATGTATTCACCGTGTATTTTATTTTATAGTTTGCCACATGTCTTGTCTGTTAACATAAAGGAGGCTGGCTTTGCGACCTATACTACAGTTGGGGACTGTCTTTTGCTTCACATTTGGCATGTTGTTATGTCGTCCATCTTTGTATACATTCGATAATGACAACATTCAGAACAACACAATAACACAACATCAGAATCTGGCACACAGATTGAAGGTAATATACAAACAGTGCAACAGTTGGTATACCATCTTTAGGAAGTTGTAAATAAACTGTATGTATTGTTTAAAATGTTTAATGACCTTTGGAAACGTTATAATCGTCTGTTAAATCCTGACCTGCTGGTTTGTTGTGTGGCAACCTCTGGTACTGTTTGACCGCCTTGAGCAAAGTGCAGGAAGAACATTTGCAGAAACAAGCAAAAGGAGGACCCAACTAACCACAAACACACACACACACACACACACACACACACACACACACACCGCACACACACATTCAGGAACCAAACTGAAAGATTTTTTTTTTCTGTGCAGGCTAATATTATACTTCAACAATCATGTGAAGATCCAAAACAACACGCCTATGACCTCCTGACTGGTGAACAAAGGCTGGATTATCCGACTGCCGCAAGTATGAAAACATTCACAGCAGCTCCTTATCATGTAAGGATTGTTTGCTGATAACGCAGTAGCAATACTGAGCAAATTATCTCTCTATTAACAGTGGAAGCTAAGATAACAGCTTTATTTGACAAGATACGGAAATTACAATATAACCCACATTGGTCAGTGGGGTTTGCTGCATAGGCATGTGGTGATATTTATGGCATTTTCACAAAGGTTATTTAAGTCGAAGAACATTTGCATTATACACAATAAGTATGAACTCTGTTTCTTAAGGGAAGATCCTAAAGTTTGGATAGCCCCAAACGGCTGTTGTGTGTTCTGAATTGGGCTAGCTGTTGAAGTAAAAGTCATTACTCCAAAGAAAAGAGGATGATTGAAGGACCTACACTTGAGAAAGAAGAATTGAGGACCCACTTTAATTTTTGCCAAGTGAAAAATGAACATTCAAATGAGGCTTTCAAACAGTTGAAAGACTGATAGCACATAAGAGACAGTTTGGGCTCAGACTATGAATTTATATTCAAAGCAATATCAGCGAGAAAGTATTTAAAAATAGATTAATCTAGGGTAGGAGCTCTGTTTGGAGTTTCATGCACATGAATGAGAAAATCTTACACATATTCTCTCATCAGGGGAAGCATCTTTGGTGTGTGTTCATTCAGCAGGATTTGGAGCTTAATATTTTGGTCCCCTACTGTCAAATACAAACAGGAAGACCCACTGAGAGAAATGAACAATAGTGTGCGTGTGATGATCAGGGTTTGGAACTGGGCCTTCCTTTATCATGCACTAAATCTGTAAAATACAGGAACTCTTCTTTTTGTTGTGATAAAGTAGATTAATGGGTATGTTTTGATTAGTCTTGTTTTAAACTCAATGTCAGGGGTGTATAGACCTGACAGACACTTAATAACAATAAGTAAACATCATTTGACTACTTTCATTAATTTGGCTTTAAAGGTGCAGTTGTTCCTTGTCATTGGAGGAGTTATAAGATCAGTAAATAAAGGCCTAACTCTAAATAAAGTTACAAGACCCTGCCCACTGTGCACAGCCTACAGCCTACTATTGGGGATTATAAGCAAGCAAATGCCACACACAAAAATAGTAAGACAGCCTCTCTTTGGAAACCCACGGGGTCAAAAAGCATCAATCACAAAGGTTACCTGTTGTTGCGTCAAACCTGACCGAGACATAAAATAAAAGCATGTTTAACGACATGCATTGGGTCACACATTGCAGCTGTTGACTGATTCGGGAAACCGGAGTTTGCGTTTTAGTATCAATTTCGCCTATAGGCATGAATGAACTTCCGGTTTGACCTGTCAGTATAAAATCATCTTGATTAATTCAATTCAATTCAAAAAAACTTTATTTGTCCCCGGGGGGGCAATTAAAAAAAAATACGTGTTGCCAATCCTTAATGTTCTTTTTTTAGGCTATATAGCCGTACAAGATTTGATCCAGTGTTTGAAGCTAATGGGGGGTTTCAAAGTGTACTAAGTCAAATGTTTAATCAATGGTATGCATGATACTAGACCTATTAAGAATAATAAAGCCACATAAATGAAATTGCAAGTTTGAGATATGGCCTGTATAATATAAAAACATTAATAGGCCAAGGTTAGGATGTTGCTTTCCTTGATCATTTTATATGACCAAATTATTTTTCCATGCATTCATTCAAATAGCCTAATTGAACCACTGACAAACAAATGGGGAAAAACACATAAATAACATGATCATACTACAATTTATTTTTTCATTTCTGCAATAATTTTACATTTTACATTTCATACGGTGCAATATTTATTTTATATTTCTGCAATATCTATTTATATTCTGTTATGCTACCACCTGTAAATAACTTCTACCATACATTGCCCATCCTACCTGAAGGAGAGTTTTCTTATTTTGTTGTCTTTAGCTGTGGATGCTTGCATGTGAGTGCACTTTAAAGGTGAAGCCAAATAATTTCGTTGTACAATTGTATAATGACAATAAAGACATTCTATTCTATTCTATTCTATTCACTTGAGTGCAGTAGCCTATGATAAAAAATAAAATAAAATAAAAGCCCATATCCATTTTTAACGCTTTAGGTCTCAGAGCTTACAATGGTTGTAGCAAACCTCAAAATTAACACAACAAGGCTATATTTGGAGAAAGAAATTGGAGCTGGGTCTTGGGAGCTGCAGAATAACTTCATTAGAGCTTGTGCAGTATACAGAGAGGATTTTGTATGCCAGGCTACCTAAAAAGCACTAATGACAATATTGATAAAGCTTTGGATGAGTTATGTGAATTAAGTTTTCGTTGTTATGCAACACACACGGCTCATAAAATTGGCTATTGTATTTTAATTTGGGAGAATCCTTCAATGTCCGGTTTTCACTTGGGTTAACAGCTTTGAGCTTGACGTGGCTCCTCTGTGTGAAAGCCTTACCGCCGCCTTGTCGAGTCATCGCCAGAGAAGAGCACAGAGCAGACTGAGCCGTGGTCCGGAGGCTCGAAAACGGGGAATAACTGGGGATTACGGTGAATTTATTGCACCACGCAAGGCGAGAGGAGCGAAATGTTGGTTACCGGAGCGGATTGGACTCTGACGCTGTTACGGATATAGCATCTTTGAGTGAGACTTTGCCTGTTTTGCTTGCCGGTGCAGACCCGGACACAGACAACACAGAGACAGAAAGAAGTACCGGAGCCGCCGCGACACCAGCGAGCGAACTTGGCTTCTCTCTGCTCCGGTGGGAGGTGTCTGCTGTCGGCTGTGGCTCGCTGCACGCACCGCCACCGGCTTTGCTGCTTGGACCTTTTTGAAGTTGAGCCTGTTGCAGTTGTAGCCAAGTTGTATCTTTTGTAAATAGCTTCTTCTTTTTTTTTTTTTTTTTTTTTTAGGGCTTTTCGACAACCAACTGTGGCTTTAATGTGACGCACTATACTGACATTATTGCGGTGTGTCGGAGCGGACCCCCTCTGCAGAGGAGTTAAATGCTTTGAAACCAAGTTTTACTTTTCACATTTCTACGGTGCCAACGCAGCCCACACAGATGTAAGAGGTAATGGTGCATTTTTTTTTTTTTATTACAATGCTTTATCCAAATCGTGACCAGTTATTGCTTATGTCTTGTTTTGCCTGGAGGCGAAGTAAGCTGCAGTGCTTCGTTTTTTTGAGTTTCCTCAACAGGCAGCAATGAACCCCATCTCTGCAACAGTTAAGGGTATTTAAAAGTCGTTTGCACGCTTTTAAGTCTAGTGAGTTGATTTTTTTTTTTTTTTACTCATGCTAGAATAACATTTTTACACAGCATGAAGACACAGCTGCTCATGAATTCGTCTACCGGTATGTCAGTAATAAGCTCCTTACTCGGGAGTTTGAATTGCTCCTGTGCTCACTTTAATAGGATGAACATGTTTTTTTTTCATTAGACTTCAACGAGCCTAATGTAACAAATGGATTTGGTTCAAACATACAGCATACACTGGAGATGTGTTGAATGTATTCACAAGAAAGCCTTTAATTTACTTACACCTATTTAAAACATAATCACGTTTGAACATTTGGGTTTCGCCGTGATAGCCTAAGTAACAGCATTTGAGCACAATTTACTGTTTAATATTGTTAATTCTGTGTAAATGCTAAAAAAATATATGTTTTTTTAGGTGTGAAATTTGAGCATTTATTAGTATATCATGAGTTAGAGAGAGCAGTTTTAGCTAGTTAATGACAACCCTAATTGCTGGAAGCAGTACACCTGTGGTAATCTGTGGCGCACTTTGCTTTGATCTAATCTGTCACTGCTGTTTATATGCTACACTTAAAAACCTTTTTAAAATTGAAATATAACGTGTGGCCTATTTACCTATCTGTTTTCATGCTGCCTGAACAACACCCCCTAGCTGTTGAGAACTCATCTGCTAATTATTCTGTCATACTAAATAAAATAAAAACAATAGAAATACAGATGTTTCTCACCAGCTGTATGCGCTTGAATTAATTTTGACCATCATTTTAGTTTAATGACCCCCAAAATTATAAATAGTCCTACAGCAAACAGCCTCAGCACAATACAGAGTGTGAAAAGGGGGAATAAATTGTGATTTATAGATGATCACACCTTCCTTAAAGTAGGATTGCTGTCTCTTACTGATGTGATCAGGCTAGTCTCTTTAACTGACGTCATCGTCATATTGCTCAATGTAACTTATCAAGTAGAGTTATTCACTATGATCTACACCTGGACTGGAGCTTACGACATCTGGTTGACTTCCCTTAAACCTGTAGGGCGGCCAGGTGCCATTAATTGTGTAATAATGTCATAGGAATTATTTTTCAAAGAAATACTTAAAACCTGTTCTTCACATACACGTGTTCAGGTAATTCAACAGCCTATTACGTGTCAGGACAGACTTCTTTGTTATTGAAGTATAAACAAGCAGTCATATTCTACCTGGTGGCATTAAGGCGCAAACCACCTTTGACCTCTCCTGTGCAAATCTGTCACCTTACCTTAATTGAGACAACATACAGTAGCCTCTGGTGCTATTGGAGTTCCTGATGTTATTTATGGTCCCTACAATCACATTGCGTTTAACTCAGTGGAGTTTGAATGTACCTCTTTGACATGTTTCATATTTTGCCAGGAATATTGACTTACTTACAGCAGATCCTTTTGGGCCGACGTTGCAGCTGTGGTTGATGGGGTTTATAAATATGAGAGTGGTTTTTCACATTTTTCTGACACACTGGCATGTTGAAGTGGCCTTGAGCATATTTAATCCTCATCCATTGGGGACAGATGGAAAAAAGAAACTCTTGAGATGAAATTTGGGCGGTTATTATGAGTATTTTATTTGTGTGTGTCCGTGTTGTTAACCCCCGTGCCTTCCTTGACCATTTTGGTCATTTTAGGATTTTCTTTTCTGTATTAATTTTTGGCCATGATCATTCCCCACCCTCACACACACATGCAGACGCAGGTATGCTTGTGCATGCATGCACACTAATTAAATAATTTGAAATTGTATATTTTACCCGTACCCCAAAAAAGTAGTTCAGTTTTCAACCAAACTTTATCATTAAGTGAATTGAAATGAATGAAAGTGTAAGTTTTCACACGACAGCAACAATGTAAGTGTCTGCTGCTCTGTAAAGACACACTGTTTATGAAGTGCGACTTAAGTGCTTTTAGTCTTTACATGGAGTTACTTATTCTGCTTCAAGCCTTTAAATTCTTAATATTACTATAAAATAATTGTATGCTGTTGTGTTCTTTTGTGCTACGTAATATGCCTTAACCACCTCCAGGGACAGTCCCCTGTCTCTGGCGTCCTTATTTTGGGGATCTGAGCTGAAAAGTTTGGGAACTCCCGATGTAAAACACAAATGAAACAGAAAATAATGTGAATGATTTCAAACATAAAACAGCAAAGCAAATAGCTGTTTCTCTTTTCCTCTCGAATGGTAACAGAATTAAAGCTTTCGGTTGTAGGGGAAATTACAAATTGATTCTGCATATTTCCTAACTTGCAGGTAAATGTTTTTCTTTATAATGAAATATGCAGAACACTTCTAAGCTTTGCTCAGATATATATGAAGTCACTTGCAGTGGTTTCATCGCTGTGCCCATTCCCTCTCATGTTAAGCTGCTGAGTTGCCACAGGGTAGCTGGACCTGGAGGTCAGCCGTGCTGTGGTGACTTTGGGCTAAATTTGGATCGTGGAGCAATTAGACGCACACTCCGCTGCATTACTCCAGTGCTTACTACACATGGATGAGTGCGAGTGAGATGGGATGCAGATATCTTTTTGATGTTAACAAGCTTGAGTTGGTGATTAAAGATAGTGTACAGGTTCAACTGCAGCCCATTACTCACTGATAAACTCCTTTACTAAGAGTGCAGAAGTGGAATCACTTAAATCTCAGCCTGAATTGGGGTTAAATAATCACTTTTTAGTCCATGATTCTTTACTTGTTGTTTTGATGCTGACCCAGTTTCTCCATTTTACCAGGCAACCAGGAAAATAAAATGAGGCTTTGATCTTTGCTTAGTGGTTGAAGAGCTGACAGATTTGTAAATTGTGGCAGATGTTGGCTGGTGTTCATTTCCCACCCTGCTTCTTTCACTTATACATATCATCACTGGTCAGATTGTGGTAACTTGTTACACTTTTTCTGACAGCTTGTATTTTATTCCATCAGCCACCTTGACAGGAAACAAAGTGTCATTTTGGGGTCCCTTGTAGGGGGTTGGCCCAGTTAGAAGTAAATTGAAAGCAGATGTAATGTATGGTGGTCACATTTGTATACTAAGTTTTGTTTTATCTAACACACATCTTTATTCTTTCTCTTTTATTTACAGGGAAAAGGTCAGAAGCAGATCAAGCTGGGCCAGGCAAGGCCAGGCTAGGCCTACCTAGCCTTCTGTCTGGCCTTACCAGACAGGCCAGTGACCTCTCCAGAGGGTCTCCAACCATCATTTGACCTCACCAGACTTCCAAGTAGAGCTTTAAGGATTAAAAATTCCAGTTATATTCTGTCTTATCAGCCTTGGGGAGGCCACACTGGTCTGCTGGATCTCAAATCCTTCCATGTCGTGGTCGCTCCTACCTGGATGTTGGCAGCAGGATGGATTCAGGTGTTAATTTGACGTTTATCACTTCATTGCAGTGCTTGCATCCCCCCTCCCTCTACTGCCTTTCAACCTGCCCCTCCCCAATCTCGAAGAGAAGGCCCCTTCCTCTCTCTCGGGGCTTCCCAGAGCCCTGTTCAGAAGGGCCTTGTAGGAACTGTAGGCTGTCGTTCTGAAACTGCTGGCATTGAAAAGAGGAAGAAGAGTTAATAAATCTTTGCCTAAAAGAACACAGCACAATGAAAATGTCTGGATTCAATAGATTTGATTGAGCTTTATTTCCTGTAATCCACTCCCTTTAGTCTTCTCTGGAGTTAGATAAGAGGTTGGATAGTTTTTGATTTGAAAAAGAAACTTGCTAGTTGAGTAGTGCGCCAATTTACACATAGATTGGTAATAACTCACATAAAACAAATCCTTGTTCATACTTACAGAAGTTCTCTGTTTTGGTCCAAGTATTTAGGAGGAATGTCTGAAAGCAGCAGCAGCAGCAGCAGCAGCAGCAGCAAAGTAGTGAAATTCATTGCTCCGGCCCCCCCTTCGGCCTCTCCCTGTCCATCACCCCAGTCCGTCCACAAAAATGTGAACGGTGCTGCCAGTTCAGACACACATGTGGTAGAAAAGCTGGGTGAACAACCTGAGGTCCAACGTCGACGCCACACGATGGATAGAGACTCTAAAACAGCCGAGCACCGCTTCTTTCGCCGGAGTGTCATCTGTGACTCTAATGCCACAGCACTGGACCTCCCCAGCAAAGCGGCATTGATACTCACGTCACCTCCAGACTGTGAGGGGCTTCCCACCTTTTTCCCTCCACAAATCTCTGGTCCTGGACCTCAGGTAGGAGATGCTGAAGGCGGGGAGGTCCAAAGCATAAACCTCCAGCCTGGTCTCAGGATATGTCGGGCAGTTTCGGAGGGGGACTTTAGAAATGCTGAGGTAGATTTAGGGAAACCAGTAGCACCGTTGCTGTTCCCATTTGCAGTGGTGTTGAGCACAGTGCAGATAGGGCAGTTAAAGAGCCCACCCCGACAGTATTGGATGTTACAGAAAAAACAGTTGGAAAACAACCTGATGTCACGTTGCATCCAGGGGACAGACAACAGGTAGTAAAACATGTAAAAGAGGCGGACTCTGGTAGTGCTAGTAGTCCAACTGAGGAGAAAGAGAGGGAGACGGAGGAGGAGAAGGGGCTCGCAAAAGCCCGGGCAGAGCAGAGGGAGGCAGAGAAACGAGTGCAAGACGACATAGAGGAGGTGGAGACTAAAGCTGTTGGGACTTCACCAGACGGACGCTTCCTAAAATTTGACATTGAGATTGGAAGAGGTTCCTTTAAGACAGTGTACAAGGGACTGGATACAGAGACGACAGTGGAAGTGGCGTGGTGTGAACTTCAGGTGAGTCCAAGCTAAAAATGAGTCATTGTCTCTCCTGCATCCGGGCTCTGTTTCATCCTGCTCGTCATGCTTAGTATTTCATTAAGTGTCATTTTGTGGTTGATGTTGACCACAAAGTAACACAAGTCCATCCAGGTGCTGAATTCAACTTTTCATTTCTCTCCTGTCCTCCTTTAAACTTGAGATGACTGATATTTGATAACTTCCCTTCCTCCAGGGTGCTATCTTATAGAAATGTTCATGATGTGAGATCACAATGGGATCTAGATTGAGATATTTGTGCATATGAAGTCATGGCCTAAGCTACATGTTGTTGAAACCTTTGTTTTTGCTCCATCTTAGATAAAGCATTATTACCATTACCAGCTTTCCAGAAGACGTCATTTTACACAGATGTTTCTTATCATGGAGATATTTCTCTGTTACTAAGAGGCTATTTGTCTCTTAGGTTGTGTGTCACGAGTTAAGATTGCATTTCAATGTGAGTGCTTTGTTACATTGGCATCACAATGGCTGTCAAACTGTTGTTTACCCCATGAAAGATAGATTCTACCTCCAGGTCAGGCATTAAATTTGCAAGATGAGCTGTCTCTCAGCGAAGGGCACTGCTTGAAAGTTTCAGGTTGGCTGGTTATTGTCTTTGTCTGGCAAGCTACTTGGAAAGTGAAAAGGGGCCAAGCTACCTGTTACTATATGTTAGATGAATAGAAAATCCAGCTTACTGAAACAGTGTTTTTATATTATCTTTTACAATCAATCATTAACCTGTTTTTGCTGTATTCTTACATTTGATCTTTCGAGGGTCTCTGATATTATTGGCAGTTCTTTTTTGATGTGTGTGAGCGGATGCTGTGGTGCTTCAGATAACCACAAACACAAGTTCCATAAATAGGTGATGTTTGATGTTTTTTTTAGAAGTGCACCAAAAGTTAAACAGTCAGGCTTATGAGCCGGGGCGTTGGATAGTCTAGCGGTTATGTTGTGCGCGCCACATGTACAAAAGCTAGCGGCCTCGTCCCAGCGCCCGCGGGTTCAAATCCACCGTCGGCCCTTTGCTGCACATCATACCCCACAAAAAAAGTCCTGACTCTCTTCAGCTGTCCTGTCCAATAAAGGCCGTAATGGCCAAAAAATAACTTTAAAATTAACTAGTTATCTAATGACCTGCGACTGCCTCATCAGACTGCCTGGTAAATTTAGGGTGAGGGTGGTGAAAACATGACATTGTTTTATCTCTCACCTACCTCTGGTACCCTTGTGCAAGACAGATGACTTCCTACTGTAGCTGCAAAAAAGAACTGCCTCTTAACCACATCTAGAGACATGAGAAAGGATGCTATACAGTCAGCCACATGATGCTGTTGCTACATTATGGTTGCACTGATGCAACTTCTGCAGTGAGCGTGTCAGATAGAAAGAGGGACAGAAAAAAAAGTTTGTTTTTGCAGCTTGTCTTGTTGACAAGAAGGCACAGAGACACGGAGAGGTGTGTTCGGTAGTTGGAGATGTAGAATAACAGTCGGAGTTAGTCATATGACATTCAGTCCTCTGACTGACTTTGCAGAAAGTTTAGTGGAGGAAGAAAACATAGACATGGACTCACGTGGAACTGCTTTCCCTGATAAACACTTGTTTTTCTGTTTTGTGTTGTTTTGCAGAGAGAAAGCCCTGCGTTACCGTTAAAATAAAGCTGAAATAATCAATTGTTTTCCTTAGCTTTTAACTTTCTTTGATGACTGAAATTGAAATGCATTAGAACAAGAAAAATGAAATCACATGAGGCTGTGTAATTGAACATTTCCCTTGCAAACCTGCATGTGTTAAAATTCCTCAGTTAGGGTTATTTTCCTCTGGGAGTGAACCATGTTGTCCTCATCTCCATCACAAGATGCTTTGCGAGTCTTCCTGAATCCCAGGAGCTAAAATCAGTTTCGCCTGATGCCCTGCATCTTGGAAACGGCAGTTTGTTCATCCAAAAACACATGCCCAGAGCCTCTGCCAAGCTTTCTCTCTTTGTCAAACATGCCTCTTTCTGTCTTTCTTCTGGTTTCTCTTGAAACCCTGTGATTGTTGAATGTGTTCTGGGTCACTAGAGGTCTTTCTTCATGTCAGAGTAAGACACTGAAAAGGTCTCTAGTGGTGATTTCTAAAACATGTTTGATTAAATAATAAGAAACTGTCTGATACAGAATTGTATTGCACAAACCCTGGATTACTGGCATAAAAATGTCCATTAAACATTCAGGTATTGAAAGCCAGTGGTGACTAGACTACATACATGCAGAGACAAGTACTCCTTTACAGAGCCTGGCTGTAATCCTGTGTGTGTGCATGTGTGTGTGCATGTGTGTGTATGTCAAAGATGACTGAGCAACTGCTGACATGTGGCAGAATGGTGAGAGTAAAGTTACACACACACACACACACACACACACACAGACACACTCATGACAACCAATCACATTGACACACTGGGTGGGCACGGGAACAAGAGATCTGTGGGAGACACGATCATCTGGAACTCGTTGGTTTTTCTTGCACATCAGTGTATGAGTGTCTTTTTTTTTTTTTTATCACTTTGACTCTCATATGCATACTTAACCCAGGTTGTTTAAATTCTACTGTCTGTGTGTGTGTGTGTGTGTGTGTATCTGATTCAGAGATGGATTTGAGGAGGTTGTGTCTTTGGCATCTGATCTGTAGCAGGTTAATGTCTTATTCCAGGAATTCAGGGATGGATGGAAACAGAGAGTAAAAGATAGAAGATTGTTGGTTTAAGCAATAAGGAAAATAGATTGATGAATAGATAGAAGCCGTGGAGTAAAGAGCAGAAGGGTACTCAACAGCTTTTCTTACGGTGCTATGTTAAACAGAATGGTGGATGATAGCTTTAAAAGAAAATCGGACACAGTTCTCCTTGAATATCAGACTTATTAAGGACATATTAAATAGAAAGCATTTTGATTTGGTCAGATGAAACAAGCTTTTTCATCATTTTAGCCTCTCGGGGAACGATGTTGCTGGTCTCAGCAGTTAGCCGTTTAAGTGAAGCACATAATACAAAAATCACGCTACCATTTTAGGACATATTTGCATACATGGGTTATCAAACTGACATGGTGTTAAGATCGAGTCAGTCTTGTGAAGTAACTGAAAGAAAAAGTTGTGAGTGAAAGGAGAAGAGTCTAGTTCCCAGCAATGGCGGGAGGAGGGGTACAAGTCAAAGTTCAGCCCCCGAGCATCCTATGTAATCTCTAGGAGTCTGTTCTGTGTTCACCTACCATTGGACGAGGGGCTAGAGTCACAAATGAAGAGCAAAAGGTGGATAGGAAATTGCAGAAAAACTAAAGCTCAGTGTCAAAAAATGCTTCAAGGACAGGCGGTTGTGGGACGGGTCATGAGCGGGAGTTTAGGAAAGCAGGATCTGGTCGTGGAGGGGGTTCCACAGAAGAAGAGAAGTGGGAAATGATGGGAGGAGGGAGGGAGGAAAAAGTTAGAGAAAGACAAAGGGAGGAGGAGGGACAGGAGTATAGAAACTGAGGGCCCCCAAAAAAAGAGGGACCCTGTGTGTGTGTGTGTGTGTGTGTGTGTGTGTGTGTGTGTGTGTGTGTGTGTGTGTGTGTGTGTGTGTGTGTGTGTGTGTGTGTGTGTGTGTGTGTGTGTGTGTGTGTGTGTGTGTGTGTGTGTGTGTGTGTGTGTGTGTGTGTGTGTGTGTGTGTGTGTGTGTGTGTGTGTGTGTGTGTGTGTGTGTGTGTGTGTGTGTGTGTGTGTGTGTGTGTGTGTGTGTGTGTGTCAGTGTGTGTGTGACCTTAGGCTCTTGGCTCCACTGGCAATCAAAGAGTTTGAAATTTCTCTCTCAACAGAGGAGGATTAGCCCCCTCCTCACACACACATACAAGGACACACACTTTGAGGCCTTCAAGGCTCTCCTTAAATAACGGTCATTCACTCAGGGCCATTAGAGGGAAAATGGTCGGAGACATATGCAAGTATTTCACCCACTCAGGCTGCTTGTGTCGTCTCATAGAAACATGACAGGTTGAACCAGGAGTGTTTTTACAATTTTATATAGTTTTGCAAACTACTGTCCTACAGAGGGAAATTTTAAAATCTTTTCACATTTGTCTCCTGACATGGAATTAGAATTTTGCATCGATCAAGGCTAATAATGTGGCTCACACTGTCCACATTTAGCATTGCAGCGTCCAATTTTAACCTGCTACATGTCCTGAACTCTGTCCACGTGATGGAAAAAGGCCAGCGGGATGGAGAAGATCATTTTTGGGGAGGAGGCAAAAAAAGAGTCAAAGACATATTTGTTGAGATTGTTTAAAAGGTATTTATAGTGTTATATCCCAAACACAGTTTCACTTAACAATGGAGTATCTGTTTTAGTGTCTCTGCAGATTGGAACAACAAGCAAATACTGTTATTGAATGTTGGATAAATCACCTTTCAAAAATGAAATTTGTTTGGGCATAAGACAATCTGCTGCTTAAACTCTTAGGTCAGGAGTTATCATACTGTTTGACCTGGTGAAATATTTCACAGGACTAAATGCGGCATCCTGCATTTTAGTGAAATATAAATATCTAAAGATTTCTCCCATGCAGCAGAGCTGAGGTGAAACATCCAGCCCTTTCAGGGGTTCCTATATCCCTGACAAAACAGCCAGAAGATGCTGTGTCAAGCCTTCAGTCTACAAACCCTATTCCCTCACTGCTGATTGATTCTGACGTAGCTTTAAAGTAGTAACAGCCACCCTCCCAAAACACAGACATACATCTCCATACAGACCCTAATTAATAAGTCTGCATTGTCAGCATTTTCTAAAAATCTGGCTTAAGTAGTTAACCCAGTTCCTGTTCCATATTAGCAATACGCTAATGTCTGTGTTTAGCTGTATGTCTGTAAATGAGTTAATATGCTTAAGCAGAAGGGATGTGGTTGTTAACACACACAAAATACACATGCAGCTTTCTTCAGGGATTGTTAACTTA